TCAGACACTGCAGGGGTGAACCAGCAGACGGGGAGATGTTTCTCTCTGCGGGGCTCACGCTGACGACCCTGGCTCGTCCCAGGCGCCCACCGGCGCGGGCGCATTCAGCACCCAGCACCCGTACCCGCGAACTTCACAGGAAAGATTAATTATGTGTAAGTTATCTGTGGGCTTGAGAGGCTGAGTGCCCTCCATCTGCTGGTTCCTCCCCCACAGCCGGGAGGGCGAGCGCGCGGGCTGCAGCGCAGGTGCAGGGCCCAGACACTCGGCCTGGGCAGCGCCAGCAGGGGGCTGGGGTGGGGGAGCCGTGCCCGCGGGGACACTGGTGCTGCAGGCGGAGGCCCAGCCCGGTCACCACGGAGCCGGCCCCGGGGGTACAATTTTTTTTTTTTTTTGACAGGCTGAGTTAGAGAGACAGAAAGGTCTTCCATTGGTTCACCCCCAGTGGCCGCCACGGCTGGCGTGCTGCGCTGATCCGAAGGCAGGAGCCAGGTGCTTCTCCTGGTCTCCCATGGGGTGCAGGGCCCAAGCACCTGGGCCATCCTCCACTGCACTCCCGGGCCACAGCAGAGAGCTGGCCTGGAAGAGGGGCAACCGGGACAGAATCCGGCGCCCCGACCGGGACTAGAACCCGGTGTGCCGGCGCCGCGAGGCGGAGGATTAGCCTCGTGAGCCGCGGCGCCGGCCGTGTGCGCTTTTTTAGAAACAGTTTGCAGACACCCCGGTGTGGGTCGGGTCACTCCCAGTGGCCCGCTGGCTGCGGCTTCGTGGGCCCGGGGCCCTCACCCCGTCGTCACGGTCTCCCCAGGGACAAAGCCGGCGGCTACGGCGTCCAGGCGCTGGGCGGGATGCTGGTGGAGCGGCTCCACGGCGACTTCCTCAACGTGGTCGGCTTCCCCCTGAACCGCTTCTGCAAGCGCCTGGCCGAGCTGTACCCCGCGCCGAGCCCCGCCCCCGGCCGCGGCCCCAGCGCCCGCTCCAACGCCCTCGACCACCTGAGCGGCCCGCAGGGGTGTGGCCCGGAGCCCCCGGGGGAGAGCGAGGGCAGCGGCGGAGAGCGCGAGGCTGGCGGCTCCCGGGGGACCGGGGTCACCCTGCCCGCGCTGCCCCCGCGGCTTCTGGAGCTCGTGGAAGGCTTGAAGGCATCAAAGGTGCGCCCCCCCAGCACCCGAGGGCTTCCGGGGGGAGGTGGGGCGGGCCGAGCGCTCTGGACAGGCCCGGGGGCAGGGAGGGGGCATTCCGCCTGCCCCAGCTGCTCTCACCCCCCGCGTGGATCTGTGGGGCGTGCCCGTGGGAGGGGCTCCGTGGGAGGTGACCCTGGCGTGGGGTGCGCCCTGGGGCGCCTCTCGTGCCCTCGCTCAGCTGGGCTAGCCTGGCTGACACACGGGCGCTCCGTGCCTCCTGGGTGTCCCTGGGCCCTGCTGGCGGGGCAGTGGACGGACCGTGGCGTGGGCCGGCAGCTGCCTGGGTGGCAGAGGGGCTCAGGACTCCTGACCTCGTCCTCCCCCCCCCCCCCCCCCCGCTGTCCCAGTCAGTGGGCGTCCCGGACACGGCGCTGCTGGAGCCAGCAGGGCCCTCCGGTCATGTGTCCTGCCTGGCCACTGCCGCGCCCAGGAGTGGCTTTTCTGCTGCCCCTGGGGCCCAGCCTCGGGGAGCGGGGGCTCCGCGGTCACCGCCGCTGTGTCCCCCGCAGGCCCTGGTCGCCGCCTGCCGGCTGCGGGTGTTTGATTTCCTGCGAGAGGCAGCGGGGGCCCCGCAGACGGCCGCGCAGGTGGCCGGGAAGGTGGCCGCCCCCGTGCCCGGGACCGAGAGGCTGCTGGACGCCTGCGTGGGCCTGGGGCTGCTGCAGAAGATGGAGCGAGGTGCGGGGTCCTCGGGGCTCTCGCGGAGAGGTGGGGGAGGGGTGTGGCCGCCTCAGCGCGGGGCTCCCCGCAGTCAGACGGGGGAGGCTTGTACCCGTCCCCGGGCGACGGCCCACCGTGGGGGGGAGGCTCGTCCCAGCGTCCCCGGGTGCTGACCGGCCGCTTCCCCTCTGTCCGCCCCCCGGGGGCTGCCCGCCGTCTCAGGCTACAGCAACACGGAGCTGGCGAGCGCCTACCTCGTGTCCAGCAGCTCCCTGTCCGTCCGTGACGTCGTCCTGCGCGAGGGTGACGGCTCCTGGAATTTCTGTGCGTGCGCAGAGCTGGCGGTGCGTCAATCGGGGTGGTGCCCCGCCCCGCCCCACCCCAGTCCAGCCCGGCCCGGCCCTGGGCACCCCTAGGGGATCCCCTGCCTCCTGGCCCCGCCCAGCCCAGCCCAGCCCGGCCCTGGGCACCCAGGGGAGACTCCCGGCGCATGGGGCGACCGTGCGGCGTGCTCTGTCCCAGGATCGTGCCCCGCTCAGCGGGGAGGCTCTGCCCTGCTTCCCGGACAGCCCGCACGGCCCCGCCAGGCTGACCGCTCGCCGGGTGGCCGCGGCCTTCGACCTGTCCCGGTTCAGCGCGGCCTGCAGCCTGGGAGGTGTGTGGGCGCCTGCGTGGGCGGCTCCGCGCTCTCGGCCTGCTTTCCTGAAGCTGGGGGTGTCCCCTGGGTGCCCGCCTCAGGGGTGGGGGTCCCTTACCTGCTGCAGCACTTGGCTCTGCGGGGGTGGGGGGTACTTGACCTGCTTGTGTCCCCTGCGGCGCTATGGGGGGGCCCTTCCCTGCTCGTAACAGGTGCGGAAAGAACTGGGCTGGGTGCAGATAACTCCAGCCTCTGGGAGGTTCCTGGGGGGCGCCTGGGACCCCGCAGCGGGGAGAGACCCTTCCTGGCCGCTGCCCGGTGGCGCACTGGAGGCCTGCGCCCCTCCCAGTGTTCCTTCTCAGTCGTGCTTATTCCGCACACCCCTCCCCCACAGCCCTGCCCGCCCCCACCCCACCCCCCTACACGGCCGCAGCAGCCTCCCTGGTCCCGCCCCCCAGTGTGGGCTGTGATGGACAGCGCGGGCCCCCGGATGTAGATTTTGCCGGCGCGGGATGGGGGGGGGGTGTCCCGTTGTGTTTGGAGTGTGCGGCGTGAAGACAGCCACACAGCGCATGTGTGCCGCGTGTTCCCGCAGGCTGCACCCTCGCCCTGGCCCGGGAGCTGGCCCGGGAGCACCCGCAGCTCCACGTGACCGAGCTGGACCTGCACGCCGTGGGGCAGCCCCCCGGGCAGGAGGACACACAGCGCATGCGCTGCGGGACAGGTGCGCGGCTCGGCGTGCCTGCGCGGGCAGGTGTCTCCCGCGGACCGTGCACGTGTGTAGTGTGTGCATGCATGTTCTTGTGTGTACATATGTGTGTGTCATGCGTGCTCTGTGAGCTGAGGGGGGTGGTGTGCAGCTGGGAGCTGAGTGACCGCGGCCTGCAGCGTCACCGTGTTTTCCCGACCACCAGGGGGCGCCCTCCAGGACCGTCTGCCCGAGGCCAGCCTGCACCTGCTGTGCACGGGGCTGCTGGGGGAGTGCGCGGACGCACAGCGCGGCGCGGTGCTGGCCAGGGTCGCGGCTCACTGCCCACCAGGTGGGAGCCCCCGGCCCTGACCCTTGTTACTGCGGAGTGGGGCCTTGCCCTGTGCACCCCCCTCCTCCCGGGCACCTGCACGGCTGGGGTCTGGGGTCTGGGGTCTTGCACGCTCCGTCCCCCCACGGGGCCCCCTGCCCACTCCAGCGCTCTGCCTCTGCCCTGCAGGAGGGGTCTCCATCCCGCCCACAGGGACCGCCCCCCCAGCCCTGTCTGCCTCTGCTTTGCAGGAGGTGGCCTCTTGCTGGTGGAGACCCCGGCCCGGGGGCGGCCGCGCAGCCTGGGCGAGTACCAGCTCCTGCTGCAGCAACACGGCTTCGGGGACCTGCAGGGGGCGCACGCCGAGAGCGGCCTGGCCGCGGTCCTGTGCACCCGCGAGACCCGGCCCGGGCCGCAATAAAGGAAGTGACGCGCACTCTGGGCTCCTCCCTCTAAAGGCCACGCCCAACTTTGCCACGGGCGCCCCGGGGGGCGTGGCCTAGGAGAAGGGCGGGGCGGGGCCCATCCCCTGTTCCGAAACCTGCCAGAGGGTCTCCGCCCTCTGCTCCTGACGAACCTGAATCCCCAATGGTGACAGGTCCTGGCATCGCCAAGTTTGGTTACGGAGGGGGGCAGCGTGGCAGACCCGGGTGGAGTTCCTGGGGCGGGGGGAGGGGCCTGTGCACCTGCTTGGGAGACCCGGATGCAGCTCCCTGCTCCTGCAGCCTGGGAGGGCACCAGCTTACGGCCTTGCACACCTGCACACACGTGGGAGACCCAGTGCCCGACCAGGGTGGCCGGGGGACCCTGCTGGGACCGGAGGGACAGGGCTGACTGCTGGGGGAGGGAGGGGGACGAGGCCCTCCTGCGGTGAGCCGCCCCCTGTGTGGGCCACAGGCCTGGAGGTGGAACCGCCTCCACCGGGTGCTGGGGAAGCCCCACCCCCACCAGGGCAGCAGCCCCCCATTGGCTGCCACACAGCGGGAGCTGGACGTGGGCTCCTGGGGCCCCAGGGACCAGGCAGAGGCCTGAGTGTCGTCCCAGCGCGGCCCCGGCGGCCTGGCTGACGTGCACGGTGCCCAGCGTGTCCCCTGCGATGCGTGGCAGCTCCGAGCGCTGTGCTCTGGCTCTGCCTTGAATAAATAAACAAACAAACCTTCACAAATCGGAGAGCGCACGGGGCTCACAGCAGCCTGCAGGAGCCCAGCCCCGGGTCCAGCCCGGGCGTCCATCAGCGGGTGGGTGCTACACATGCAGTATTTAAAAAAGCGGCCTCATTTATTTAATTGCAAGACAGAGTTAGAGAGAGAGAGAGATGGGGGGGGGGTCTTCAATGCGCTGGGTCACTCCCCAGATGCCGCAATGACCAGAGCTGGGCTGATCCAAAGCCAGGAGCCAGGAGCTCCATCCGGGCCTCCCACGCGGGTGCGGGGCCCCAGCACGCTGGCCCACCTTCCACTCCCTCCCAGGCCACAGCACAGCCGGACCGGAAGTGGAGCAGCCCAGACTCAGCTGGCGCCACAGGCGGGGGCTCAGCCCCCTGCACTGCACCACAGCGCCGGCCCGCACGGCATCACACGGCCGGGAGGAGGGAGGCACGCGGGCACCCCGACAGCACAGGCGCAGAGGACCCCCACGGCGCCCCCACTGCCGGGGAAGGCCTAGGGCCGGTCTCCTGAGCAGAGCGCCCGGGACGCCTGTGCACGCGCGCCCTGGGAGACGCCTGCCCCCACCCTGCGGAGGAGCCCGTGGCGGCCCAGGTCAGAGACCGCAGGGCGCCTGAAAACAGGAAACACGGCGGACTCCCGCCCAGCTCCCCAGGGCGGCTGCTCAGGGACTGCACGAGTGACACGGGCGTGCGTCTCCACACCCCGGTTCCGTCCCTGAGGCCGCGTCGGGGCGAGCTTCCTGGGAGGATGTGGGACGTGGCCGTGATGGCGTTGACTGATTCAACACTGCTTGTTTTATTTCAGAGGGGGTAGGGAGAGAGAGAGCGCGTCCCGCCCACCGCTTCACACCCCAAATGCGCACCCCGTGCAGGCCTCCCTGTGGTCAGCAGGTGCACAGGGCCCTGGGACCTCACGGCTGCCGTCGGGGCGTGCAGGAGCAGGGAGCGGAAGCAGGAGCCGGGCTCCCCCTGGGCTCCCCACGCGGGTGGCCGGGACCCAGCTGCCTGAGCCCCCACCTGGAGGTCAGAGGTCACCATCACCCGGGCAGGCAGGAGGTGGTGTCCCAAGTGGCGTTTAGGCTCCGCCCCCAATGCTTTAAAGCACCAGAGGTCTCTCTTCCTCTTCCCGCCCAGACCAGTGGGTCCTGCGTTGCAACGGAAACGGGAAACGCCGACACCGCCCGCCCTGGAGGCGTCCTCGTCCGAGGAACCACAGCCAATACGCAGAGTGGCCGGCCTGGACGTTCGGTCACAGCCTCGCCTCCAGCGAGAGGAGTGGTCAGCCCACGCGTGCGTGCGGGAGGAATCAAATACAAAGCCCAGACCGCGCGGGTCTGAAAGCGTTTCCATGGTTACACTGCGCGGTGCCGCCCCACGGCCGACTGTCCCACCTGCCAGGAAAGCTAGCAAGGGGCTGGGTGGGTGGTTTGCTTGTTTAAAGACTTATTTATCTGAAAGGCAGAGAGAGAGAGAGAGAGAGAGAGAGGGCCTCCCTCTGCTGGGTCACTCTCCAGATGGCCATGGCAGCCAGGGCTGGGTGATCCGAAGCCAGGAGCCGGGAGCTCCTCCAGGTCTCCCCCGTGGGTGCAAGGACCAAGGACTTGGGCATCGTCCACTGCTCCCCCAGGGGCATTAGCAGGGAGCTGGATCAGAAGTGGAGCAGCCGGGACTCGAACCAGTGCTGGATCACCCCCACCCCCAAGTATCTGGTGCTGGTTCTGTGCTGTGAGCTGGAGCTCCCCCCCCCAATCACCCTGCGTGACCCGTGGCTGACCCCACGGAGTCTCCTGGCACATCTGCACCCCGGGACGCGGGGCCCATGATTCAGGGTCCCCGGGGGCCAGCATGGGGCAGGCTCGGCCTCCTCCCATCCCCCGCCCAGGAGCCAGCGGCACAGGCGGAAGCGCAGGGGTGGGAACGGGGTGGGGTGCTTTTCTGGTGGCGGCGTCCATCCCCTGCCGGCTCTGGGGTCCAGGTGTGGGCGGGGCCCTTCCCGCCTCCCCAGCTCCCGGTGGCCTTGGCTGTGGCTGCCTCCGTCTTGCCGAGGCTCCCCTCTTGCAAGGACACTGTGGAACGCCAGCCCCATGCCTCCTGTCACGGTCAGGTAACAGCTGCCCTACCTGGGACCTGGGGCGGTGCGAAGCTAATAGGAGGCCTGGGGGCGGGGCTCCTCTTCTCCCGCCTTCCACCTGGAGCAGCGGGCAGGGTCGAGCAGGGTGAGAGGTCCCTTCACCCTCCCTGGCCCAGGCTCCCGGAATGCAGCCCTGGGGGCCCGCGCGCGCTCACTTTCTAATCAAACCCCACCCTGCTGCAGGCCAAGGCTGCGCCTGATTCCAATTCCAGTAAAAGGCAAGAGCCTGGGACAAGAGCTGCACCCAGCCTGGCCCACGACCGTCTGCGCCCCACGCGAGGGTCAGGCGTTAAGGAAGCGTCTGACCGCCCTGAAGACTGAAACAGTGGCGACCCGGGATCCGGGAAGCTTGCGTGAACCTGAGCTCGTCCCCCCTGCTTGGTGCAGGGCGGGAGAATGTCCTGGGGGGGGTGGGAGGGGCAGCAGCTCCCCCGTCCCTGAGAGCTGCACAAGGTGCCCGAGTGGGGGCAGCCGATGCCAACGTCACGGGCACTGCTGCTGCTCCCGGCAATCTGCCCAGCCCCCCAGGCCCGTCGATCTAAAATTTCTCCAGTCCCCGCTAGCATGTCTGGTCCCCCTGCCCGCCATCCGTCCTCTCCAGCAGCCTCTCACAGTCACCCTCGTCCACTGGGAGGCACAGCCGTGCAGGGGGCGGGAGGGAAGTCCAGGTCCCTGCAAAGGAGCCGGCACAGCTGTGGGGCGCTCGTCCGCCCCTCCCACCCCTGCGCACAGTGAGGGGGGGCCTTTCACAGCAGGTGCACGGGCCCCGCGTGCAGGAGGCGGCACTGCCTGTTGTGATTTGCATGGGTGTTTAGAAACGGCAGTGTGCGGTCCCTGGGGGTGAGCATTTGGGGGCACGGGGGTTTCAGAAATGCCACGGAGCAGGCGTCCGGTGACTCACAGCCTGCGCCCAGCGAGCCTGCTCGGTGCAGCCTGCAAGAGTCAACCCCATCCCACCGCGGCCTCGCCCATTCCGGCTTAAAAGTTGAAGTGACGTCTGCACACACAAGGACCGCGCTCAGCAGACACTGCAGACTTCAACTTCAAGCTCAGGTCACTCCCTGAGCTCGGGGATTCGGCAATGACCTCCACTCTCCCCGGGGCTGACACTGGACCAGTGGTTTCATTTCCCTCTGAGCCTCAGTTTGTCCCTGTGTAAAGTGGGCGTGCAGAGGCCTGCAAGCAGGAAGCTAGAGGGGCCGGCGCTGTGGCGTAGCGGGTAAAGCCACTGCCTGCAGTGCTAGCATCCCATGTGGACGCCAGTTCCAGTCCCGGCTGCTCCACATCCGATCCAGCTCTCTGCTGTGGCCTGGGGAAGCAGTGGAGGATGTCCAGGTCCTTGGGCCCCTGCACCCGCGTGGGAGACCCGGAAGAAGCTCCTGGCTCCTGGCTTCGGATCAGCTCAGCTCTGGATGTTGTGGCCATCTGGGGAGTGAGCCAGCGGATGGAAGACCTCTCTCTGTCTCTCTCTGTCTCTCTCTCTCTCTCTCTCTCTCTCTGTCTCTCTCTCTCTCTCTCTCTGCCTCTGCTTTTCTGTAACTCTGCCTTTAAAATAAATAAATAATTTTTTTAAAAAGTAGATAGCTAGAGGCGGTGGCAGTGCGGGGAGCGTGCTCACTGCCTGGTATCGAAGGCGATGAATCGGAAGGGATAGGGATCACCTCCGTGCGGTGAAAACCGAAATCCTAGCACGCCGCCGATTCCACCAGCAGTGGGGGGTGTGGCTGGCGCTGGGGCGCTCCTTGCCGTGCCGATCCCACCTGCCCCGTGGTGCCGGTGCCGGCGTGGGGCCCGTGGGGTCGTTGCGAGGGTTGCCTGGCGCGGCACAGGAGCTCCGTGCACAGCAGGGTTGCCCCCCAGTCCATCCGCAGTGCAGGAGAGGAGAGCGCCACCCTGAGGCTCTGCCACCAGACGCCGTGGCCGAGTGAGGGCCTGCGGTGTGCGGCAGCAGGGGCAGGGGACATCGGCGCAGGCCGCTCCCCAGCGAGGACGAGGGCGCGCTGGTGTTGGGGGAAGCGTTTACTCGGGCTGGTGGCTCCCCGCCCCAGCACTGCGAGAGAGGGGCCTGACTTCACACGGGTCTTTGGGGGCGGGACTAACGCTGCAGTTAGGACGAGGTCGCCCAGGCCTAGGGTGG